GCACCAGCACCAGCATCAGCACGGCAGCGGCACCTGCAAAACCAAAACGCCGACCCAGAGCCAGCATCAGCACGGCAGCAGCACCTGCAAAACCAAAACGCCGACCCAGAGCCAGCATCAGCACGGCAGCGGCACCTGCAAAACCAAAACGCCGAGCCAAAGCGAGTACCTGCACCTGCACCAGCATCAGCACGGCAGCAGCACCTGCAAAACCAAAACGCCGATCCAAAGCCAGCATCAGCATGGCAGCAGCACCTGCAAAACCAAAACGCCGATCCAGAGCCAGCACCTGCACCTGCACCAGCATCAGCACGGCAGCAGCACCCACAAAACCAAAACGCGGATCCAGAGCCAGCACCTGCACCTGCAACAGCATCAGCACGGCAGCAGCACCCGCAAAACCAAAACGCCGACCCACAGCCACACCATTGAATAATTAAAACCCCTATAGCCTGCAGCTATCTCGGAAAAAACATGTAAATTAGACCGGCATAGACCCCAAATAGCGGGTGTATAGGTTTAAAGGACACGCCACGGACGGCTGTCAGCTGAAGGCGCCCGCTTTGCCCAACACAGACGTAAAATTGCAAGATCGGCAAGGACCAGCCAAAGCTGCCCAAACCACATCACGATCATTCCTGCAAAGAACACAGTGTCATGCACAATATGACAGCATGTCATTCCTGGCATGACATGATGTCGTCCCTGTGATGTCATTCTGGGCATGACATGATCTCATCCCTGGCGTGATGCGACGTCACCTGGCATGACGTGATGCCATCCCTGGCGTGACATGATGCGGCCCGTGGAATGACATGATGTCAATGCTGGCATGACGCGCTGTCATCGCTGGCATGACGTGAGTCATCCGTGGCATAACCTGATGTCACTGATGTCACCTCTGGCATGACATGGTGTCACCTGGCATGACATGTTGTCTTTCTGGGCATGACATGATGTCATCCCTGGCATGACGCAAAACAAAACGCAGATCCAGAGCCAGCGCCTGCACCAGCACCGGCCAAACAAAATGCCGACCCAGCACCAGCACCAGCACGGCAGCAGCACCCGTAAAACGAAAGCACCAGCACCAGCACGGCTGCAGCACCCACAAAACGAAACGCCGATCCAGAGCCAGCACCTGCACCAGCACCAGCAAGACGAAAGCACCAGCACCAGCATCAGCACGGCAGCAGCACCTGCAAAACCAAAATGCCGAATTTGAGTTAGGAATTCCACCAGCACCAGCATCAGCACGGCAGCGGCACCTGCAAAACCAAAATGCCGATCCAGCACCTGCACCTGCACCAACATCAGGACGGCAGCAGCACCCGCAAAACCAAAACGCCGATCCAGAGCCACACCATTGAAAAGTTAGAACCCCTACAGCCTGCAGCTATCTGGGGGAAACAATGATACTTTTTCAGTGTCATAGCGGAAAAGGCATTTATTCAGCGTCACAAAAGTAAAAAGACACTTTTTCAGTGCCATAGAGACAGAAACGAGAGAATAAACCTCCTTCCCTGCCTTCAGTCCTGTCCTTTGTTTGTCTTCTCGAACCAGCCGGTTGTACCAAACATCTGAGCAAATACCAAAACCATCTTCTCTGTGTGTGCCATCTTAGTGCACATCCTTCTTGTATGTTATGCTTGAATCGCCCGCAATCGCTGCAATTGCCACCATAAAAATGCAAATGTGCAATCTTAGCGTTTCTGTACATGTTGATTATGTTGATGATGACTTTTTTGGCCTTAGGTCCTGGGTGACCTTTTAGCGTCTGCTTACGCCATTTTTCCGTGATTCCCTATAGTGTTATTTTGCTTCCTAATGCTCTCGCTCTATGCCCGCTCTCCAATCCAAGACTAATGATCGTTGTTTTACCAAATCCCAGCGTTGGATGCCAGAAACAAAGCTGTAGGAATCTGTACATTGACAAGACCTTGTAACTGGCGATATGAGCAACCAGTGATGCTACACTACAACATACTACAACAACTTTATCCGACCATCCATCAAGTGGGAGATTTTACTTTTGGGCTGGGTGCTCGGTTGTGTTTGTGGGGGTCCACTACTGTTAAACATTCAGCCCAAAAATGACATTGAGTCTACCGGTCATTTGGTGGCCTTGGGCTGGTATATATGCTTAAAAATCTTCTTCGTTTCCTTCTTCTTCTTCTTCTTCTTATTCTTCTCCTTCTTCTTCTTCTCCTTCTTCTTCTTCTCCTTCTTCTTCTCCTTCTTCTTCATACCTGCCGTGAAACCTATGCAACCCCATCCGAACCCATTCAACCCCATACAAAACAGTCCAAACCCATGCAAACCAGTACAAATCCCACCCAAACTCATCCACACTTATCTTTTTGTTCTTTCTCCTCCTTGGTCTCTTTCTGTTTGTCCTTCCCTTTCTCTGTGCAAAAAGATTCAGGCGTTCCGTGAGGGCCTGCAAGTACATGGTCTTTAAGCCCTTTTACAACAATTGTCCTGGGGCTCATGTGAAGGAAATTGCGTTTGCAAGGATCTCATTCTTGTCTAAGGGTTGTAGGCCGATCAACTTTGTTCACCCTTCCAATCTAAATGTGTTGCAAGGCTTTATTTTGTTCTGCTTTGCTATTGTGTTCAGCAAGTAGTAGGCAGTAGTTGTCAGTTTAAAAGCAAGTTTGCTGCACAGTGGATGTTACTTGGACAAGGTTTCTACATAACATGTCCAAGCATCAGATGAGGTAAACAGGGATACAACTCTACTATGATGATATGGGGGTCATACTGGGCTATCCTTGAGTGCTGGAAAATTGCAGCAGTCAGTGCCTGAATCTTAGGTACCAAGTGGGTGTATATATATATATTGTATAAGTGCGCGTTTATGTGACATATGTGTATGTGTATGTGTATGTGACATATGTGTATGTGTATGTGTATTTGTGCGTGTTTAAACATGTGTGCGGTGTGCGTGTTATTATATCTAGTCTATATGTCACATGTGTGTCCGGCTCTCTTTCTCTGCAAAGTCTAGCCATGTATATACATCTATCTAAAGGAGACTGTAGCAAGTCTAGCTCCTGGTCGATGTAAGTCTAGCTGTCGACTGTACCTACAAACGTAAACATCGGCCAGGAGACTGTTCTGCGTCCAGGGCACAGCTGGCACGGGCACCCGAGTATTACCCACATTCTCACTAGCTAGTTCTTGGAAAGATCAAAAGTTAATGCCCTTATCAAAAGCTGTTCTTTGACTGTTCTTGGATGTTGGGTCACCAGCTTCTGGTTTGGCTGAATGGCTGGTTTAGCATCTGTGGCCCGGGCAAACGCGGGGGCTGGAGGTCTAGGCACCATTTGCGGTGGTGCAGCTGCCGACCTCAGGAACAAAGTGAAGGACTCTGCCCGCCAATCAAGACAAAGGTTGTGCAAGATTCCTGGAACTGAGCGGTGTTGAAGCCAGCAGGTTTTTGGTGCATTCACGGATGGTGCTGGGTTGTTGGGCCTGGCCGCAGTGTAGGCTCATGAGGGCTTTCTTTGCGCCGCGCATTGGCCACACAAGGGTGGCTCACCGCAACTCACTGAGCATCTTGAGGCAGTCCCTGCTTTCTTTGACCAGACAAAAAGGCCGGTCGCCCACCCCACCAGAGCGCGATCTGAGATCTGCACCAGCTCGTCCCTGAGCCTCACGTGACGCGCTCGAAGGGATGTGACGCATCACGTGACGCTCTCTGAGGCGGTGACCAGCTGAAGCCCACCTCGGAGACGGGAGGGGTCAGCCGACCCAAGTAGGACAACCCATTGGTTACACGTGGGGTTCTTTGCCGGTGCGAGGTCGTGTTGAGGGATGGAGCATGCGTTTCTCTTCACCAATTGGTCTTGCGAAGCTGTTGGCGTGTTGGCGCTTTCTACATGCTGTGCCGTCCGCGGACCTGCTCCTCATGTCTGAAGACCAGCTCGAAACTGCTTTCTTCCGCGGCGGTGTATTCCGTCCACGGGTAGCAAGTCACTCCATATGTGTCAGGGTGCGCAATGGCAGCCTTTTTTCCGGTAGACCATGAATGCGCCACACAATGCAACTCCTTCACTACTTGCCTGCAGAAACCGCAACAACTCCAACGCCGAGGGCTGAACTTTCCTTTCCCACCATCGCCTGAGCGGAGTGCGCAGGGCACCCACTGTGAACAAAATGCAAAGCCACTGTGCCCTGCCTTTGCCGTGAGACCTCAGCGATGCATGCTGAGAAGATCTCAAGAAGTTCGCAGTATGTGCATGTGTGGGTAGGTTCAAGAGGGTCTTATCCATGTATCTAGTCTCCTCATGCCTTCCCATCACGCCCAATGCTCCTGATCAAAAAAAGATACATGAATTATAAAATTACTGTACCACTTCACAAGTCTTCATTGATAATATCAGATAAAAGGATTAATAAAAATAATATATATATATATATAGTTCATGTGAATTCTCATAAAGATATAAAAGGCTTATTAGAAGATTAAAAGATGAATGAACCGGCTACCAAATTAGGAGCTATAACCCTAGGCTTTTATTAATCCAGTCTCGGGGTCTGGCCAATCTCCCCAACCTGCGCAAGCTGCGATGTTGGGGGGTGATGTGAAATAGAGCTCCGTCTTAGCTTGAAAAATGCCACCCAGTGACAGCAACTCCTACTTTGACAAAGTCAAAAGAAAGAATGAATGAAAGAAAGAAAGAAAGAAAGAAGGAAGGAAGGAAGGAAGGAAGAACACTACAGCCAGCAGCAAGTAGGTCAACGGCTCTCTTTCTCGTCCAAAATACTACCGACAACAACCACAAAAGCCACCACCACAACAACACCCCCGAGCCTCCACCACTCGCCGATGAGCTCCCCCAGCCTCACTTCAAAGAGAGAAACTGGGAGGTTCCAAAGCACCGCGGTGGACTCCGCAGGCCGTGGATGTGCAGTGCACGACCGACGCAGAGTGCGGGCTGGACCACCTGATGGGCGTGACCACCTGATGGGCGTGAGCTAGTCTCACCTGATGGCTCGCCGCATGGGTCCCACACCTAGCAGTTGCATGATCAGACCTGTCAAGCGGGTAAGGAGCCACCATAGGGCCATAGGGACTTCGTTCACCGGGATTGGGTGCCTTCATCGCATCCTCACATGGCGAGGAACCCCCATTGATCCTTCGCCCTGAGACTGAGGACCCCGGCCTTCATCCCAACCTCCGTAGCCACCGTAATCACCATAATCCCAGTCTCCACAGCCTTGCCGAACCGCCGCAGACCACCGCTCCGCACGCCCGGCGCGAACGTCCGGAGACGGCGAGCCATCGAAGCACGAAGCCGGAGACGGCCTCCCCAACTCATGGCTGCCGCTGCGCCTCGGCCTGCGAAGGACAGAGAGTCAGGGAGGGACCCTGCACGACCTGTGACGAACAGCATGGAGGGCACAAACTCTGAGCATCCAGGGTTTGTCCTGAAAGAACTTCGAGGTTTGTCCTGAAATCATCTTCGAGGGCACCAAGAGAGCTTGCAGTTCTTGGATGTTTCACAGGGACGTTAGGCCCCCTGCGACACCCTCCCATTACTTTCATCTAAGGTCATACGAGGCCTTCCATCTAGGAGAAACATCGCAAAACTGGTCTTGCACTCTGCATTGCGGCCATCAACACACAGGCCTCTGGGTCAATTGCCCATCCGAAATGAGGCGCATGCTCTGAAGCCAAGAATGCTGCGAGGTCAGCGTGGTCATCTTCCACCGGAAGATCTAAGCCGGAGGGGCTGGATATACATCCAATAAAGAAAATGACCACCAAGCAGGAACTGTTTGGGACTCTAGATTTCTGGATGGTGTCAGGTGGCCAAAGGATGAGCAGCATGAGGTCATTGCACGCATATTACCAATGTATAATTTCACCTTGGCAGGGTGGGCCCCAGCATTGCCCTGGGCAGGGGAGCAGGGTCGTCCTCCGTCTCAACGACTGACTTCACTGATTCGGCTCCTTTTTGAACTCGGATGGGCTGAGCGCATCACTGGATTCATGGGCCTTAGGCCTATCAAGCCAGTGATTCTACTGGGCTACAGCGGCTACACAAGTTGTGCTGCCAACCTTTAACCAAACACACGAGCGTTTCCGAGAACAGCTAAGATGTATAAAGATCTCAATTCTAATTCTAACCTACGGGCCAACACGCCGTCGACAACGACTTTCTTCCTCCGAGCACTTTCTATGTACATATCCATCAGCCTGGATCTTTGTTTCGCCAAGGGGTCTAATCCTCCCCCGAGGCTGAGGAGGATGAGGATGACGAGGACGAGGACGATGACTCGACGGTTGGAGGAGCCTCGTGAGAATCAAACCCTGATGGCCGCGGAAGCCACTGCTGGTAAATCTTCACACAGTGCCAAATCGCCCAGCAAAAGAGCATGAGAGTTCGCCGTTTTTCGCGGCGTGTTCTTTTGAGGTAGCATCTTCACACCGTGGATTGACAGCACTCCAAGCCACGTAGGTCTCCCAGTCCCGCCTCTTCCTTCCCCATGATCAGTTGCCTGGCATGGAAAACGCTCGGGTTCGCTGCATCCTACGTACACCGACGAAGGAATTGGGCCATCCCACTATATCCCGCTGGTCTCTGACCGTGCAACAAGGAGTGCAAGCAGCAGAGTAGAGTGTGGAGTGGATGATAGTGGATGGCACAAATTGGGTGACCGTTTCAGATAAGGGAGCATTCAAAATGGTTTCTTGACGATTGAGCCAAGAAAGTACTTGGTGGCCATTGAAGTACCCAAGCCCTAAGACCCGCCCAATCAAATTGTCCTGTGTCAAAGCCGCTGCAGCTGTAGCGAGCTACAGGCAGAAACTGTTCAGGATAGTCGGCAGCATATCTCATGGGCCAAGTCAATCCCCACAGTTTCACCCACTTCCAAAAGGTTTGAGCAAAGATCAAGGAGCTTGATGTCGAGTGTGCCAATCCAAATCAACAAAAATCAGACCAAAACAACACTTCGCCCGTGCTTCCAGCTTCGCTATGCTTTCGCTATGCTTCGCCTTCACTGGAAGACCCGCTCCCACCACGCCGCCGCTTTTCCGGCCTCACCGCCACGCCCACCAAGGCACCTTGCCGCTGAACCTGAGACGAGACCGGGGACGAGGGTGGAGACAGGACGAGCTGAGGAAGGACCCGTTGTCAGCTGAGAGCTGACATAGATCTGTAAAGAGCAATGTCAATGAATAAGAGAAGTTCAATTCCCTTTGGCGAAACGAACTAAGACCATCGCGGCCTTTTCGCGGCCCCCACGCTCCTCCCTGCGAACGAGCGCAGGCACGCGGTGCAGGTGCACAACCACCACACTCTGCGCAAAAAGTCTCTGTATTCATCCACTGCCCGGCGTGATGAATATCGAAAAGAAGAATGTATGCATACACAACATGTCTCGTCAAACGATATCTGTTGTAAGGACTGACTGCCAATCAGCAACTGACTGCCATAAGGTTCAGAGCCCTCAGGAAAGCTAGGCAGCGGACGCCCAGCGTTTTCGCAACACATTCAGCTCCTTCTGCTTCCGCTGTACCTGCTATACGGTCGAGAAAGCTCGCTGTCGGACCATCCTTCACCCCCAGATACAGTGCTTCAAGGGTCTTCTGAAAGGGTTCGTCTACAAGAGGGTTATCCTCTCCTCTCCTCTCCTCCCCTCGCCTCCCCTCCCCTCCCCTCCCCTCCCCATCCCCATCCCCATCCCCATCCCCATCCCCATCCCCATCCCCACCCCTCTCCTCCCCTCCCCTCTCCTCTCCTCTCTCTCTCTCTCTCTCTCTCTTTCTCTCTTTCTCTCTTTCTCTCTTTCTCACTCACTCTCTCTCTCTCCCTCCCTCCCTCCCTCCCTGCCTCCCTCCCTCTGCCTCCTGACTATGTTGACTCGTGACAGCTTTGAGCGACTACGAGCCGAGGGGGCCTCTCTCCTCAACTCGCGATTTGCGTCTGGAATGCCATCGTCCTCATCCTCACCACCTGCCATTCTGAGCTTGGAGCAAGTGCATCGTGCGCTTCACGGGTGCTTGTGGGGTCGGCCCCAGCCTGGAAGCAGGCTGGATCTTTTTCCGTCTGTGGCAGCCCTGGCGACACCCAAGTCGTTGCACGGTCGTTCGCTTCGTTGCTTGAAAAAGACCCGCCAGACTGGCTTGGCGCGGTGGATGCGGACCTCCACATGTCGCGTCTGGATGCGCCTCAACTAGGGGTGAGCCCAGACTGGCTTGTGCCAATGCACGCAGAGCAACGGGAACATGCAAACGAATGAGGTTCGCAAAATCGCCCAGAGCGGATTCAACAAAATCTGATATGGGTCTTATGTTGCCATCGTTATCGTACACTGCACTCTTACCTCGTCACACCCCATCACTGCACTCTCACCATGTCTTCTCGTCCTTCCGCCGAAGCGCAGATCCTCCAACTCCTTGGCCATGTTCAGCAAGCCCATGACGCTTGCCTTGGCCTCATCGGTCACATCCGCCTGCCTCAGGACAGATACAGCGAGGATCGTCCAAGAAGGCTCCATTCGCCCTTTCAGCGGCAGCTGCTGCACTCCCTGAAACAATTACGGAAGTGGAAAATTGCAGCTTCGACCATTTTTCCTCCCACAGGTGGTGCCATCCACGTAACCGTGATCCGAACTCACGGCGTGAGTTAGGAGTTCGAACCTCCCAACTCTCCCTCCAACCAGCCACCTGACATGAGGAATCCCAGAGTGATTAATCAAGCCGCCCAGTTTTCGGTGCCATTCGTTCCAGACCTTCAGTTCTACTAGATTGATGGCTAAGGAGTTCCATGGTCTGAGGGCGCGTTCTGTTGAGAAGGAGTTCCAAGGGAGTCCGGTCGGGCAAGAGTTTCTGGGAGGCAGAAAATTCGAAAGCCAAGAGTTCCGGGGGAGGCCTCTGTGACAAACCAGCATCTCCCCAGCAGTTTTTGAACTACACTCCCTCGAAGTAGAGTTTTCCACCATGCTCACAACAATCCAACAAAACCATTTTCCACTTCGATGTCCTCACAGCCATAGTTGCTGGTCCCGTCCATCCCGCCCCACTTGGTCACCCTGGCATTGGACTCAAGGCCTCAGATCACGGCGTCGGAGCGATTCACCCCCAGGGGTGTGGGGCGAAGAACTTTTAGGGGAACCGTGAGTCACTGGTGCAAGGCGTTTTGTTCATCTGGGAGGGCCCAGGCAACTGGGCATGGATGATGGCACTAGGGTGATTTAATAAACTAGTTTGATGCTTTGACCTGCGATTGGACTTGTGAGAAACACTTGGGTAAAAGCATGCATCAGCAGAACCTCCATCCGAAGCACTAAGTTCCAAAGAATCAAAGCCTCAAAAAGGATCGGTCCAGGCACGTCTCGACACATCGACTGAGATCGTGACCCCAAAGATTTGGATTCGCCGCTTCCGAGCAGCTGCCTTTGGCGTTCTGTCCTGCCAGTCGCTTCAAGGCTGGCCCAGAAAGTTTAGCAGCGCTCAGCCCCATAAACACAGAATCCAAAACTGGATTCGTAAAACACCCCAAGAAAGGCACGGCCGAAATCCAGTTGTGGAGAATACCCTCGCGATCTTCGGATGGCTTTTGCACCTATACAGCTGGTTGACCGGCAGAATCAACATGTCCTGTCGGCGCAGTCTTTCCGACCTGACATCGCGCCGGCGTGCGGATTCCGCTCCAAACACCGCAGAATGGGAGGATCCTCCGTGCCTAGTCATCGGCATTGGAGATGATCTGGTAGGCGTTTCATCCAATGGAGCCTCCACTTCGGCATCGAGGTTTCCTCTTCCTCCTCGTCCTCTCCCTTCTCTTCCACCTCTAGATCCTCCTCTTCCGCCTCCAGATCCTCGTCCTCTGCCACCTCCGGATCCTTCTTGTGGCTCTTGTCTTCTTTCTCTTTCTTCCTTCTCTCTGGAGGGCGCGGGACGTCCCTTGGCTACACAGTGACTAGACCATGTGAGTAGATCAACCCATGCTAAGTGTGCCACGGTTTCAGCCTTCAAGAAAGCGTGACGTCTGCGCCTGGGAAGAACACGTCTCAGAACGAAACACTACATTGATCAGGACAACCGTTTCTCAAGCAAGGTCTTATTACATGCATGGTGCCCATGAACATGCCCAGATGGGTTCCAGCTGGGAGTCCTTTGCTGGAAGAGCCTCTAAATCAAGACCCTCAATGTGCATCCCTGATGGCAACACAGGGCCATTGCCATTGATCCTGGATCTTGGTCGCCAAGTTGCGTGTCACCGTCATCCGGCTCCTCCTAGAATGGGAAAGGCAGGTGCTCAACTCTTGTCGGCTTTCCCCCGGAAAGGCGACCTGTTCAGGTGTCTTCCTCCCCGAGATGGACAGAGATTGGCCAACTCTATTATACCCTGCCCTAGAAGTCCAAAGACTATATTTTGCCCCACTGAAGTAAAGCATATTCCTTTCCGGGTCACCTAAAAACCATTCTTTTTATAGTCTTTGACTCCGAGGGTATACTATTGGACTCCATTCTTGGTCCGAAGCAGCTGGTTCCTGGGAAGTGACGTGAACTAGGTCCGACCGGTGAACCGCTCAAGAATGGCCTCCGCACCACAGTGGGTGGCGGTAGAAGATGTAATGTTCTCTCACGCGTGCGTGCCAAGCTAACCAAGTTCATTGAAAGCTTGCAAAGTTCACTGAAAGCTTGCAACAGACAGGATGCTGAGGGACTACC